CACACACACACACACACACACACACACACACACACACACACACACACTCTTCAAATATCTCTATCGGACCCTCAAAGGATCAGATTGTTTTACGGGAAATCATGTCAGGGGTCAAATGATTGAATTATTAATGGGAGCGGTGCAATAACAATCGTCTATTGTCTGTGGTGATTCCGACGCGATATTCACAGGCCCTTTCTCCACCTAACCTGATACTACCGTGTTACGATCCAAATCCAATAATGCAGACTCTGCAAAAGAAAGCCCCCCCCCCCCCCTCTACTGTTTCATCAGTGGAAGAGAGCGTCTTCAGTCTGCAGCCTTCACAGCGGAGAGTCTCACAGAGTCTGTAGAACCATATCGACATGCTGTGCCTTGTTTCCAAGGACGAGGCAACACATTTCCAACGGGTCATAGTAAAGTAATTCACCATCATAGTGACTCCTTCACTACACACTGGTCTATGAAAAGTGTGTGTGTTTCTTGTGCATATATCCAGTATGTGTGTGCGTAATCTGGCAATCCTGACAAAAACTCTAATCTGTTTGTCGCTTTTCACCGCGCCAAATATGGATTTCCGAGCACAACTGCAAATCAACCGAGCAAATGTAAAAGCGCATTCATTGGCTCGCGTTATGGATATGAAAGCGGACAATCCCGTACTCCCACATTTGCATGTGTGAAGCAGCCACACTCGGAGCGCCGCGAGTGTTTTAACCGTGTTCGACACGCGGGAGATTCGGTTGAAAGAGACGTGTAGCTTTTGTGATGTCTTGAGAGGGGTTCGCCGCGATTCCCTCGGGCCCGTTTCTCACAGAGCCAGCGTGGAAATGCGTGTTATTGTAAAGAAAATAGGAAAAAGAAAGCGCCGGGTGATGGATTTTTGACCCGAGTATTTCGGGGTCTGTTTTGAGAATGACCGTAGAGCAACACGGGGGTGGGGGGGGCGCATAAGGTCAGCCTCTTTGGCGTTTTTTTATCATTACCAGTCCAGAAAACACAACTCTTTTTAGCCATCCTAAACACAGCGTGCCGGACACATGGGCTGACAACTTCACTTAGGAGACGGAAATCAAACGGGCTTGTTAATGCAGCTGCTG